GAATTGAGGCGCAAGAGAAAGACTCAGTACGTTACTGCAGATAGATCAGCTTTAGTTATAGTTGATGAGACAGGTCATGTGCATCCGAGAAAAAACTTATAAAAAGCGAAATGTTTGAATGCAGCAACCTGATACAAGGGCGATCGTGATGATTTCCTCCTAATGCTCTCATGGATTGAATTATTGTAGTCCTAGGAAAAAGCTGTAATAGTGTCAGTTGGCCCTTTGTTTCTTTTTTTGGCACATCCTTAGCGTATGAAATATATAAAATGTGGAAAAAAACTTGTTCAAAATCTAGAGATGTTTGAAGAGTGTGTGCAGCAGTGTAGAAGGGGCTTTAACGGAGTGTCATAATCAAATGAAGCCGTGCAAATGCACCAGCGGAGCAGTTCAGCTGCAAGATGCAAAGATTAACCTGTATGAGTAACCCTGCTAATCTGTGCGATCAGAGTGCGTATTAAGGAGCTCCTGATCGCCGAGGACCAATCCTTATGGATCTGATTGACTACACTACGTTCAAGTCAGAAATCGCTTGGAAACAAGCTGAAATGGAAAAGCTTGGAAGTGAGCTATAATTTCTTTCTGTTTAATTTTGATAATTTTTGTGGAATTTATTTGCAAAATGTTATTGCTAAATTTAGAAGAAGTATCGAAGTACGATAAAGTTCGTGGCCGATACTCGGAATTAAAGGACAAACTGGAACGTGCTTCTGCTCGTTTGGAAGCCTTAAAAGAATCATTTAAGGACGGTCCTTTGCAGCAACTGAGCGAAGAGATTAAAGTACTCGAAAAGGTGGTTAATTCGTTTTCCTCTCTTTATCCTTTCACTTGGATTGAAATTTAAAATGAGTTCCAGTACTGCTATTACAGTAGGATTAGTCCAACAGATTTTTGGGATACATGTCTCATCAATGTCTAATGAGACAGTGATGCAGTTTGATAATCTGTTGGACTTCAGGATCTTCCGGAATGTGATGCACTTTTGCGAGAAATGACGAAGCAAGCGAAAGAGTTGAACGATC